ACATTTTCGCCTAGTTACAATTCAAGAAAATTATTTCAAATTTTTACATTTGTGCTTAAGAGGGTGAGATTAGTTTTTTTTTTGCAGAGAAAAAAATTGAGATTAGTTTAAACAAATATTACGTTGATGGATATGAAAGCTTCTAAAAAAAATTAGGGTCCGTTTGATGAGTTTTGGAAATATAATAAGATTATAAGATATATCAGAACCCATATCTTTTTTGATCACAAAATACATTCTTCATAGAAAGGGTAAAATTGAAATGGTTGACATTTTCAATAAACTTCAAGGTAAATAAGTTGGGAAAATAATAAAGTTACATGAATGATGAAAATAGGAAAGCTATCCCAGGCAGACGAAAGTATAATGCATGCATGGACAAACTTGTTTTTTTCCTATTTTTTCACTAAAAAAGAAATTAATTATATTTGTCTAAAAGTCTACGCAAATTATAAGATACAGCTGGTTCTACCATTTTTCTGGCACCACTGGCAATTAGATTGAAGGAAGGAGAGACTGTCTAATGGAATAATAATTATACGAAGTAATAGAAATATAGAAATTATCCTAAATAGGACTAAAAATAGAGAAAAGTACTAAAATAGGACTTTCATGTTTTTTTCTCGGAATAGGACTTTGCACTGTGGTAATGTGACTTTGCATTGTGGTAATGTGGCAGTGTACATGTGCAAATTACTATACATTTTTGGTAATGTATATGACCATGTTTGGTAATATAAGTCCTATTTCGGGAATAAAAACATTGAAGTCCTATTTTGGTATATTTTCAATGTTTTAGTCCTACTTTGGTCTTTCTCCTATAGAAATATGGTACCAATGGTAATAATAATAATAATAGAAATATTAATAATAGCAGTAATAATAATAGAAATAAGAATAGTAATAATAATAATGACTATAATAATAAAAATAAAAATAATAGTAATAAAAATAAAAATAAAAATAATCATAATCATAATAATAATCATAATAATAGTAATAGTAATATAAATATTAATAATAATAATAATAGTAATAATTATAATAATAGTAAGAATTATATAAATATTAATAATATTAATAGTAATAATAGAAATAATAATAATAGTAGTAATAATAATATTAGTAATAAGAATAGTAACATTAATAAAAGCTATAATAATAATAATAATCATAATAATAATAGTAATATTTATAATGGTAATAATAATAATAAGAGAAATAATAATAATAATAATAATAATAATAATAATATAAAGAATAATAATAGTAGTAGTAATAGAAGTAGTAGTAGTAGTAATAATAATAATAATAGTAATAATAACAATAGTAATAATAATTATAATCATAATAATATTAATAGTAATAGTAATAATAATAATGATAGTAATAATAATAGAAATAATAATATTAATAATAACAATAATATTAGTTATAATAATAATATTAATATTAATAGAAATAATAATAATAACAATAGTAATAGTAATAATAATAATAATAGTAATAATAATAATAGTATTAGTAATAGCAATAGTAATAATAAGAATAATATTAATAGCAATAATAACAGTAGTAGTAGTAATAATAATAATAATAATAATAACAACAACAACAACAACAACAACAACAACAACAATAACAATAACAACAACAACAATTTTGTATAGATCTGGCTGATCTGATCTGATTTAATATGATTTTAATAAACGTGAGTAATAAGCAGAAAAAATAAATTTAACCCTGTTGAAGTAGTCAAATTTTGCCTCGATGTGTGCAATCAATTCAAGATACAATATTTCGTAATCTCTTACGGTAAAAAAGTTAATTCTATTAAGGTTAAGAAAGTTATTCCCTATGATAGGAGGGTGATGTTAGTAAAAAGTGGGGTAATTAATTACCATATAATCCATATATAGGCCGTGCCCTTTCCACCTTTCAAATTCAATTATTTCGACGAATTTTTGTAGGAGACGAAAATAAATTTTATACTCGGTCCTCCCTCCGTTTTATGAAACGGTTACTATTTTAACTTCTAAGAAAAAAAGAGTATATTTATACTTGAGTTTCGAATTTTACTTGTAATGCGACGGATAAAAGTATGATGTGATAGATTAATAATGAAAAAATATGATGTGGAAATATTTTGACAAAAATAAAAAAAATAAAAGAGAAAGTGTTTTAAGAAACGGAGGGAGTATGTTTTATAGAGGAATTAACCTAGCATGTATGCCCTCTGTCCTATAAAATCTTTCCTTTTTGAAAAAAAATGTATCCTTAAAATAAGTAATTTTAGTGTTATTTTCTAATTTAGCTGATGATATAGAGTATGCTCTTACTTTAGAATAGAGTATGATGATATATGTAAGATAGATGAGTCATAATTAGAAAATAACATCAAAATAACTTATTTTAAAGGCCTGCCTTATTTAAAAAGGAAAGATTTTATGGGACAGAGTCAGTAATACCAAAAAGAAATCACTCCAAATAGGACTAGAACATAGAGAAAGTACCAAAGTAGGAGTTCAATATTGGGAGAAAGACCAAAAAAAGACTAAAATATTAAAAATATACCAAAATAGGACTTCCATGTTTTTATTCCCGAAATAGGACTTACATTGCCATACATGGTTTTATACATTATCAAAAAAGTATAGTAATTTGCAAATGTACACTTCTACATTACAACAGGGCAAAGTCACATTACAACAACGCAAAGTCCTATTTTGAGAAAAAAAAACATGAAAGTCTTATTTTGACACTTTTCTCTATGTTTTAGTCATATTTAGGTGATTTCTATTCAATATTTTTATTCTCTAAATAGGAGTTCGCATTGTGGTAATGTGTCACTGTACATGTATATTTTACGTAATTACACGGTCATGATTGTTAATGTAAATGCAATTTTAATTCCTTTTGGCATGGCGTGTCCCTGCCAACATCCGTGCCAAAATATTTATACTCATATAGATTCATGCCAAATCTCGTGCCTATTTTGACCAGCGCGTTTGTGCTCCCTTTTGACGGATTAAAAAAATAGATTCTGACACGGACCATTTGTACTCCCTTTTGACGCATTAAAAAATATATTTTAATTGATTCTTTGGAATCTATGAATTCTGTAAAATCTATAGATTACTTTAAGTTTACGCAGAACTAGATAGATTTTAATGTATGTCATTAGTAAGACTCTATAGGATTCTATCAGATTGTTTATAAATTATGGATTATTTATACATACATTCAAATTATTTTACACAATTAATTATTTTAAAAATAATCTAACATTAATTATTGTTTATAAAAATGACTAAAAACTAAAAACTTAAGAATAATAAAATAAAAATATTTTTTACAAAAAAATTATTATTACTATTATTATAATAATAGTCCTGCTCAACCAATGCCAGAAACCAAATGACAGGGTACAATTCTCCACACAAGCCAACAACAAACAACAACAATCCAGTTGAATCTCACTACAGTAGGGTCTGAGAAGGGTGTGTGTACGCAGACATTGTCCCTACTTGGAAGTAGAGAGGCTGTTTCCAAAAGATCCCTGACTCCAACTGCAGAAGCCAATGAGCAAATAAAAGACAATGAAACACAATGAACAGTAATTGATCTTCGGCCAATGCACCACAACGCCCAAATTTGTGGTAGTGTACCTAAACTGGAGAGATGCATAGGAGTGAAAACTAACCCTCCTAAATATATACTACCTCCGGTCCTAAAAACATACTCCGTACAAGTTATTGATTTTTAGAAGATTTAAGGGAAGTTTATTTTAGTATTGAATTTCCAAAAAAGTCCTTTGCTGACTGCTGTGATGGGTAAAAGTAGAATTTAATGGGTAGATTATTAGTAAAAAAAGATGTTGTGATAGGTAGTGTATGAAAAAGTAAGGTAAAGGTGACTTTTCAATAGAAATTAGATGCGTTTTTTGGGACGGATGAAAAAAGAAGGGAGAACGGTTTTCAAGAACGGAGAGTACTAAACACTTCACACTTTTTCTGAACTTGGGGATTTTCTTGGGTGCCAAGAATCTGTCAATTAGAGGGAGCCATGGTATGTGAGAGGCGGAGGCACTAGCAGGAAAGGAAGTTCTTAGCTGGATTAAATCAAAAGGAAGTTCTTAGCTGAATTTGTCATCTTAACTTGTTCTTTTTTATTACTCTATTAAACCTATTTATTTAATTTTATTTTACCTATCAATAATTGACTCTACCATATTTACCTACCATATTTTTTTCCAAAGTAACTCAATTTTTTATCTAGTTCTAAACATTATCCTTCTCATTATTTGTGTAATAGCACACTTTTGATAAAATTTTATTGAAAATTTTGTCTTTAACAATTCTTTCGATTATTCAAACTATTTTTTGTAATAAACCATATATTTACTATTATCTTTTAATCGGTAAATTTTTTTCAATTATTCAAACATTTTTTGAATTAGTACTTTTTAACTAGCACTTTTTCAAAAAAATATAGAATTTTTTACTTTTTATCTCTTGAAATTGAAGCATCTTTTGTGAAATAGTACTTTTTCATATTTTAAGTTTGTTAAAATATTAAATTATTTTTTGTTAGCGATGACCCCTGGATTTTGTTTTTTCATATGGGTAATTTACCTAAATAAGACTAAAACATAATGATTTTCTTAATACATGACCATATGTTTTTATAACCAATGTAGGACCATTGGTCTTTATATATTAGTTATTATTCAACTAAATGTCAAGCATTATTTGGACATTATTCTTTTCACTATACATTAATAAATCCTATTTAGGGAATATAAAAAAATTTAAATGCTACATTATGAAACGACTAATGTTTTAGTTTCATTGTGCAAATTTCACTAAAAATATTTGGTATGATAGGGAGTATATTAATGGGGAGCTATAATTAAGGAGCTCATTCATTTCCCTTTCTATTTTTATTTCCATTTCCACGCTCTTCTTATTAAACTAAACCTATCTATATAATATACCACACGCCGGCCGTGAAAACTACGGAGTAATTTAATTCATCTTTCTCCTTCCTCCGGCCTATATATATATATATATATATATATATATATTCACTGTATATACACCTATAGGTAAAAAAATATATATATAAAGTAAAAAATGGAGGCGGGAAAGAAATTTGCAGTGCTCCAATGCGCGGAGGACACGGAGCACGTGAAGAAGAGGTACGGCGGGTATTTCGGGGTGTACTTGGAAATGCTGGCGGAGGAGGGGGAGGAGTGGGCCCTCTTCCGCGTGGCTCGCGGCGAGTTCCCGGCGGAGGACGAAATTGCCGGCTACGACGGGTTCGTCATCACCGGGAGCTGCGCTAACGCCCACGGCAACGACGTCTGGATATGCAACTTCTTGAGCTTTCTCAGGAAGTTGGACTCCATGAAGAAGAAAGTTCTTGGCATTTGCTTTGGCCACCAGGTGATCTTTTTTCTTTCATCCATTATTCATAGAGTAATTTTCAACCCCTGCTGGTTCGGGTTGACACGGGCCGGTTCTGGTTCGGATTTTGAAATAGGCAATTATCGGTCTTGTTCTGGCGGGCGGTTATTGATTTTTTTAAAAATGTGGAACCCTCGCTCCCGGGATTTCTCATGTCTGTGTTCTTGGAGATGGTATGAAAAGTTTTGCATATGCAAGCGTGACTTTTTTTAGCTTTGCACGTGAAACTTTAAATTTTTTAAAATCTAAAGAGCGGTGAGTTTCGAACTCATGATCTCTTAATCAACAAGGTTTAATTTTAATTTGATACCCTGTCAAAGAACCAAAAGCTTAAATTTCTAGTTGTGACTCAAGAAATATTTTTATATACTCTACCAAGTTTGAATAAGAGTTCACAATATAACATTATTGTTGGATTGGGTTGATAGTGTTGGAATTTTAGGAGGAAGAACACTGCGAAGCAGTGTTTAAACGAAGAACTCGATAGAATAATAAATCGCGTACGAAATGCTTTCAGATCAAAGTTATTTCGGGGTATACGAAATACTTCAATCGGATAAGACGTTAATCAAGAACAAGCAATCGAAAATCTGACCCCCAATCCATACCACGAGATTCTATTTTATAGAATCGAAAAATCCATGATCGGACATGATCCTTCGCGTAAACATACGCCTACGTTCGCGTGGGGAAGAAGATAGGCGCGAGTTTGAAGAGCCTCATGCGGTTTTAGAGTATATTTTGACGTTTATCCGCTAGTTCGAGTCCCTTAATGATTTGGACTCCGATCACGAAAATCTTAAGGATTTTCATAAAGAAATAACGTCCGAAAAAATTTCCAAGTTGTCCCGGGACCCCGGCCGGGGGCTCTGCCCCTTGGACCCCGCTACCCGGGGGCTGCCGCCCCCGGACCCCCACAATGAATTTATAATATCGTTGAACGAGCGCGCACTCCGCGCCTCCTAACTCGTTTGACAACGTCTATTTAGATTCCTGTCCGACCGAAGTAAATCCAATTACATAAAATAAACCGATTACACTAAAATTACCAACAGATAGTATGTGTCGCCCAAACAAAATCACTTTAGAATATTAGTATATGTTAAAGTCACAGACAAAATATTTACAAGACCCATAAACATATCAAATATGAAAAAATAGTAGTTTCAAATAATTAATAAAAAATAAAAACAAAAATTCACAAATGGTAAGTTTTAGCGGTCGAGCTATGATTGTGACAGGTTATTGATTTTCAAAATGTGGGAATTGATATGAAAATCTTTTGGAACCGTTAAGATTCTGGTCCGAATCCGGGACAGTTCAACTTGAGTTCCCATTCTTTTATTGTTTTTACTTTTAAAAAAATAATTACTCCCTATATGTTAAAAATATACTTATAGATTACCACTTTTACCTCTCGATTTTTTTAATGGTATGTTTCACTTTTGTGTCATGACCAATAATATTTCTAAAAAAAATAAAATAATCAGAAGTTATTAAAAAGAACACCTTGGTTCCCATGACATTGGTTCCCAATGTCATGGGAACCTTGCCCTAAAAAGAAAGGCCGAGTATAGAATAAAAGTACTTTACCTTAGAAATTTTGTCTAATAAATTTGTCCACTTTTGACATTTTTTGATCAAAATTAGTAAACTTTGTTCCCTAATTAAATAAAAATGATATTAGATATTGATACAAAAATAGTTCTATTAGATTTATTATATAAAATATTTTCAAAATGTTATTTTATCTAATTAATATATAATATATATTTTATTTAGTTATAGGTCAAAAGTTGAAAACAGTTTACTGAAAAAATTCAAAACAGGACAAATGCTCGGGACGGAGGTAATATATATTTTTATACCCTATATATGACTAATCATAAGCAGATGTCGTCTATTTTAAAGGTAAAAGAATTTAATTTGAAAGTGGAACATTTAAAATTATAAGAAAAGAATCTGAAAATAAATATTTTAAAATTAAAAGAGTAAATGTTAGATCACACGGCGCATTTTTTTGATACTTTTCATTGAATTTATATTTGAATGTTTTTTTAGATAAAATTAATTATTGGTTATTATTTGACACTGTCTTAGAAAGTTTGGTGGGGGTGCCGTGGAAGCATGTACCCCAAACTTTTTCACATCGATCGGATCTCACGCCCCAACCCATCCCTTTAGAGCATGTGCAATGGTAAGACGGAAATAGAATGTCACACGATGACATGAAACATTTCAATCAATCAAAAATATTCTAATTAGCGTAGTAGAGTAGTATGTTATGCAGTGGCAACTCATTGTTTTTTACTCCCACCATCCTATAATGTTCTTCTCGTTTGTGTTTACGAAGTTTGACCGATTTTATTTTCAATTCAATTTATTTGATTGTAGGTGTAAAATTAAAAAATAAAATTTATATATTTAAAAACTTCATCAAAAGTTCCACAAAACAAGTGGTGACAAGGCAATATTATTTTATCAAATACCTAATGCAAATAGGTAAAGAAAGTGATTAAAGTTTGACCGTGTGAAAAGTAACTGAGAAGAACATTTTAGGACGGAGGGAGTATCATTTTTACACTTTTTTTTATATATTTTAATTATTAATTTTTTTCAATTCTTTTCCCAAAAAAATAGATGTACTTTTTCAAATAAATAAATCTTTCTTGTATAATTTTTTATGTTTTTGAAATAAAAATAAATAAATAAAAAACAAAAAAGAGAGATTATGCCTTGCATATCATGAAGGAATGCCCCTCGCACGCATGGCAATACCCACCTAATACCCACTTTAAGTCCTATGTGGCATGACAAGGCAGTCTTTAGACTCGCAATTGCCAATGCTCTTAAGAGATTTATATTAGTTTGAGAAATGTTACAGAATGGGTATGAGTGATCGGATCCCACGCCCAGATTCCAGTATCTCTTTTCCCTTCAGCCTTAGTTTTCTGGATGCGCCATTGTGACTCATCAAAATATAGCGCAAAAAATCAAAAAATTGCACTAGTAATATACCTCGAAAAAATTAAATTGGGCATAGTGAGACAAAAGGAGTAAAATATTCCTAACACCATTTTTGGTTTAAGGAATTTGAAAGAAAATTGAAAATTAAATGAAAGGAAAATAATTTTTTTTGAAATGATTAGAGAGGAAAAGAAAAAGAAAGTAGAAGAAAAAAACATTGAAGAGGAAATGAATCAAAGGAAAAAAACAATTTTCATTACATTTTGTCGAGGAAAATAGAAAAAAAAACTTCTTTTATTCCTTTTTTTTCTCTCAAAATTCCATTTACCAATTAACAAAACACAATATAAAAGTCTAATAAAACCAACCATATTGTGTAAAGTAGTTGGACCAAACAGAAACGTGAACCTGGCGCGCGTACCATAGTTGGCAATGTTTTAAATGCGAGAATTTAATACTGTATATATTTGTCCAGTTGGTCTGCAAAATCGAGTACATTTTAATTTGGTGGAGATCTGCATTTCTCATTGTCGTCACAATTTTGAATCTTTATTTTTTTTTTTCTGCGTGATGTACGAGCAATTTAACTTAAAAAAAACTTAATAATTTTTAAAGAAATATGACGTGGAGTTATAAAAATATGTATATTATGTGAGCTTGATAGAAGAACGTGACCAAAAAGTGATATAGTGAAGATGGAGATTGTTCTTTTGACTAATTGACATTAAGAGAGAGAGAGAGGAGGCCACGCGGGAAGGGGACCACGCCCCTTTAATAAGGTGCCGGCATGGGTAATTAGGCGTGAAGGAGGTAGAGACGCCCTCACGCCATGATAACACACGGCCTAAAGCTAAAACGAAATTATTTTAATTATTTTTTGACCGGGTCAAAAACAACAAATTACTGAGTACTTTGTAAGTCTTTATATAAAAATGAATTCTATGGAGTAATTTTTTTGTAGACCTAGCATTGAGGGTGATAGGCAAATGCTTATTATCTTGATGATCATTTACAATTTTGCAAAAAATAATTTTTTTTGACTTGTGAAGGTCTAAAAATTAGTCTAAATTATGAATAATTTATCGGGCTAATATTTTATAAAATTATGACCATTCTCAAACAGTACAAAAAATGAAAACAAAAATTGGGCCGGGCTATATTATGTAACTACTTCAAATTAACATTAACTTCTCATTTTAAATTTTACTTGATTGTAGATATTGGGCCGGGCCATAGGAGGAAAGACGGGGCGCAACACCAACGGTTGGGACATCGGAGTTACCACCGTACACTTGGCTCCGTCGAAGCTTTTCACCTCCCTCGAAATGCCGCCTTACCTCGATGTTTTTGAGTTCCACCAAGACGAGGTCGGTCAACTACATGTTTAATAAACTTTCGGTTGAATTGATTGTTTGACATAGTATCCAGTTTTGTTAATCAATATGCTACAAGTCCCTACGCAAATGCTGACATAAGTTTTGATATTCTTTTTCTAACTCGTTAACATTAAACAAGATAGATACAAGAGCTTCCAGCGAAGGCGGAGATAATGGCATGGTCTCACAAGACTGGAATAGAAATGTTTAAGTATGGCGATCATATGATGGGCATTCAAGGTCACCCTGAGTACACCATGGACATTGTTCTTCACCTCATTGACCGTCTTTCCAAACGCAACCTTATTCAGGTACTCTGTACGTAATTGTTATAAAAAACGTGAGAAAGTTCACATTTACCATATAAGCCATGAGATCATGGAAGTACAACTCAATTTTTATCAACCTATATTTTTTATTGGTTATTTTATAAAATAACATAGTTACATCACCGATTACTTTATACATACTCCATAGAAATTCTGAAATGGTTTTACTTAAATATTTAAAATTTGCTAAAGATTCTTTCTAAAAAAAATTAAAAAGAAATAATGAATTAAGGGATTTCATATTACTTTATAAACCTCATCATCTCAAAAGAAAGAGATCGAGGGTGCATTAGGGCCTGTTTGGAAATAGCGTTAGAGATTAGCGTTAACGTTTTGAAAAGACATTTTTAAAGTAATCTGAACCATTACAATTTATCCAAAACACTGACGCTAATTTCTAACGTTGTTCTCAAACAGCCTCTTAATGAAGTTGTTCAGAAATGATCTTTCCATTAGATGTTTCTTGGTCAAAGTTTGTAAACTTTGACCTCAACATATGCAAAAAAAATACATTATGTTTTGATATAAACATAATATGAGTACTTTCCTTATAAAATGTTGTTTTGAAATATTAAATTTTTGTAAAATATATCTATGTACAAATATAGATATTAATAGTCAATATGTTATATTAAAGACGGTGATAAATTAAATCGAAAGATCATTTGCGGTTGGGAAATAAAATGAAGGCAAGTTCTACTATAGATCTATATCTAAAATCCATGGTGCACATATAAATGAGGATGATACTCATTTGTTTAATGTTGAGATAGATATTTTTATGTTTCTATTTAAAAAAAACTAATTTTTATGCGAGAAAGCCTACAAAATTTTAATGAACCCACCAATTAAGTACTCTAAAATAAGGAAAATTTACTTAAATAGCACTAAAATATAATGACTTTTCTTAAATAACATCATGTGTTTTTTTCGCAATGTAACACTTTTAGTCATTATTCAAGTGAATGTTCGTTACCACTAGATATTATTCTTCCTTCTGGACATTATTAAATGATATTTAGAGAATACGGAGTAAAAAATTTAAGTGCTATTTAAAGAAATTACTTAAGTTTTAGTGCTATTTAGTGCAAAAATTTTCTAAAATAATGTGTGGGCCCTATACGCAAAATTCACATAATTATAATATTAATGTGCAACCATGTTGATGATGCATGCATGCATGAATTTACGTAATGAATGACTTGTTTGGATTAATAAAATTGAAGGCAGAGACGGCGGCCGGGGCAAGTGCGAAGATGGAGAAGGAAAAAGTAGGACGATATGAAGAAGATGATGATGGACCCAGCAAGGCGGCGTGGAAGAAGCTCTGCATTTCTTTCCTCAAGGGATCATTCAAATAATTAAATCCAATTAATATATATATACTCCCCGTTTAACAAAACATTTTCGCCTTAATTTTTTGTACACCCCATGCATAAAGGAGTTTTATTCCACCTAAAATGCCTAAAATACATTTAAAACAATTTCTACTCACAATTAACTACGAACTGGGGTGGGATAGAAATATTTCGAAGGATGCGCAAAAAATTAGGGCGAAAGAATTTTGTGAAAGGCATGGAGTATACAATTGTGATATGATAAATGATGATCCATCATATCATATCATATTTATCCCCGGCTCATATGGATGATGATGACGACGACGATGAATGTAGAGTACGTATATGTACTGTAATTGGAATGTGTTAAATATAATGAAATTCTTCTTAATTAGTATTTCCTCCGTTCCACAAAACCCTTCCTCTTTTGTTTTTCACAAAATAGTTCCACTTTCTATTAAAAAACCACTTTTACCCCTACTTTTTCATACCCTACCTATCACATCATACTTTTTCACTAATAACCAAACTATCTCATCTTACTTTTTCCCATCACATTAGGGGCAAAATTGAAAAGTCAACCAAATTTACTTTTCTTATTTTTCTCCAAAGTCAAAACCGGAAGGGTTTTGTGGAACGGAGGGATCGACTATTTAATTACTCATTGGGGATCTGCCCTGTAGGATAAAAGAACAATAATCTTACTATGTACACTGTAATATATATGTGTGTGTGTACATAAATAGTTATGGATATATATATATATATATATATATATATATATATATATATATATATATATATATATATATATAATCTCTGGAATCTGATTAGGGGCATGCAGTGGTTCATTGCAATTATTGTTAATGATATTATTATTATTATTATTATTATTATTATTATTCAACCTTCATTTACTACTCCCTCCGTCCCATAAAAAAGGTTACATTTCATTTTTTGCGCATCTTATAAAACAATTGTATATCATCTCAAACGCCAAAAAAACTTTCAAAACGACTCCTACCCACAATAAAGAGTAAATGTGGTAATTTTTAGGTATTTTAGTTGTGGGTAGACGTATTTTTTGGGATGCGCAAAAAAATGAAATGTAACTTTTTTTATGGGGCGGTGGGAGTACTATTTTTCCAATTACTTTAATTTTCATGTGTATTTTCATTGATTATTTGAAAAAGTATATAAATAATTGGTATCACAATTTGGTTTGTAATTTTTTTTTGAAATATAGAGGGAAAATCCCTAATTAAATGGTTCTAAAGCAATATATACTTCGTAGTACTCCGTATTTGTTATATGGATGATTCAAACTGTCTGTGACTACCTTCATCCCAACAATGTCTGATATGTTGTTGTTTGGGATTAGAGGATCCACGATCGATAATGATTGTCTTCATCCGTTCCTTTTTAGAATCAGCGGATCCTCCTCCTCGAACTCTCGCATGTAATTGCTTCATCATCTGGCCAAACAAATTTCGTTCTTCTTCTTCAAGCTTTCGATCGACTCTGCTGTCCCATTCGAATTGCTAACGCCCTTTGTTGATTGATAAAAGATTTGAGAGCTTCTTCGATTGATATGATGCCATCTTCTTGGATTGATTTTCCTCTTGGGCTATGAGCGCTGCGTTGTATGCCTTTTCTATTTTGGAATGGTCCTCAGGAGAGGCTCTTTGTAATTACGCAGAACAATTCAATATACGAACTATTTTTCTCTCTTATTAATTTCTACACTTTACGTCGCGATCTACCGTCCCTGCCCAGAACGACGCACTGATACCAATGATACATGCGTGGGAGCTCTTCAAGGAAAAAGATAGTTCCGAAGCTCTGTAACAACGAGAGAGAATGTTAGAATTGAATAAGGAAGAACACTGCGAAGCAGTGTTTAAAGAATAACTCGATAGTATAACGAATCGCGTACGAAACGCTTTCAGAACAAAGTTATTTTAGGGTATACGAAATACTTCAATCGGATAATACGTTAATCAAGAACGAGCACTCAAGAATCGGTACCCCAATCCATACCACGATACTCTATTTTATAGAGTCGAAAATTTCCATGATCGGACATGATCCTTCGCGTAGACATACGCGTACGTTCGCGCGGGGAAGAAGATAGGCGCGAGTTTAAACGAAGAGCTTCCTGCGGTTTTAGAGTATGTTTTGACGTTTATCCACTAGTTCGAGTCCTTTAATGATTTGGACTTTCACCCCGGCCAGGGGCTCTGTCGCCCCCGGACCCCCGCAGTGAATTTATAATATCGTTGAACGAGTGCGCACTCCGCGCCCCGTAAATCCAATTACACAAAAATAAACCGATGACACTAAAATCACCAACAGAGATGAGAGTGGTGAAGAAAGAGAAAGACGTTCGTAGCAGAGAAAATATCTCAAAATGTACTCTGAATATTCCAAAACTTTAGTGGTTATACAAAAGAAGTAAAATAGAAATATATTTATTGACAGGATGCCTTTTGTGAAATATATTCCCTCCGTTCTCAAAAACACTTCCTCTTTCATTTTTTCCACTTCAAATAAAACACTTCCTTTTCTATTAAAAAGCTACTTTTACCCTTACTTTTTCATACCTTACCTTTCACATCATATTTATTGACAGTACAGTGCTTATTTATTGATTTTAGTGCTTTGATATTTTATAAAAGAATGAGGCCTTTTGTGAAATATACAATGAAAGACTATGAATTAATGATATTTAAGGTTATTTGGATTTTATTCTTTATTGTCCTAAAATTAGGGTTTATGAGTTGGCGACTTGGCGTGATGATTTCCAATTTCCACTTTTGCATTCTCTTTTAAACGTCCTTAAACCGCGTAATTATTTGGTCTTATTGAATATATTGTTGACTAATGGAAGAAACGGGGACAATGGGCCTATGAATTTGGGGGCTATATGTTTGGAAAATAGCCTGTTTGGAAATAACGTTAGAGATTAACGTTAGTGTTTTCAAAAGGCTATCTACGAGCAGCGTTTAGCGTTAGCGTTTTCAAATTAATCTGCACCGTTAAATTTTTATCCAAAACGCTGACGCTAATCTCTAACGCTAATTCCAAACAGACCCAAAATATCCTCTCCTTTTTTCCCTTGATTATATATTGGGATTTGATCTAAGCATTTATTTAGTATGTGTATTTATGGACAAATCGATTTCATAGTCAACATTTTTAAAAAACGAGAAAGTAAAATGTCAGGAAGATTAATTATTAAATACAGACAAATAGAATAGTTCTTTCTTTGCCTATAATTTTTTTCGCTATTTGACTTTAATTTTCAGTATCTCCAATATAACATTTTGATTATTACATCTATATTATAGAAACACCCTTCCGTCTTAAAACATTCTTCTCGTTTGTGTTGACGAGATTTGAACGGCTTTATTTTCCATTTAATTTATTTGATTGTAAGTGTAAAAATTTTAAAATAAAATATATTTCGTATATATTTAAAAACTACATCAAAAGTTCTACGAGTACAAAACAATAGGTGATAAGACTATATTATTTTATCAAATAACTAAAGAAAATAGGTAAATAAAGTAATTAAAGTTTGACCCTGTGAATAATAGCTAGGATTTGGAAAGAATGTTTTAAGACGCAGGGAGGATAATATTTCAAAACTGCATTTAAAAATAAATCTATTAATATTAAATTGATACAACAATTTAATTTATTTATTCTACTCCCTCCGTCACACACACATATCTTGTTTTGATTTTTAAGGGATTTAAGATGAATGAATTTTGGTGTTAACTTTCCAAAAATGTCCTTAGATGTGATAGATAAAATAAAGAAGATGTGATGGATAGATTAATAGTCAAAAAGTGTGATGTGATAGATGAGTTAAGAATTAGTACGAATAAAAGTGACTTTTAAATAAAAATGAAAAAAGTTTTTTGAGACGGATGAAAAAAAAAGAAAAAAAGTTTTACGAGACTTATTTGTGGCAAACTTTTATAAAATTTGACCAAAAGGTGAAACTAGGAAAGAAATTTATAGATGGAGGGGGTAATTATAAATAAAAGTAAAAACATTAAACTGGGTCGTAAAAATTTGATTTTTTTTACGGAGTAATAGTAAACGAGGATAATAAAGTTAACTTTTCCCATATCCTCTTTGATGTCATTTATGATCTCACTTGTTGCATATGTCTTGATCTCACCCTAATCATTATAATTACCCCGGAGCAGTATGTATATAATTACAATTACCCAGTAATTCCATCATTTCCCATTCTAACACCACCCTCCACTTGTAATAATTAAACCTAAATATTCATTTTGATCCATACGTACAGTATATATGGAAGTTGGAAAGAGATTTGCACTGCTCCAATGCGCGGAGGATCCGGAGCATGTGACGGAGAGGTACGGCGGCTATCTGCAGGTGTACATGGCGATGCTGGCGGAGGAAGGGGAGGAGTGGGCACTCTTCCGCGTGTATCGCGGCGAGTTTCCGGCGGAGGACGAGATCGACAGCTTCGACGGCTTCGTCATCACCGCTAGCAGTGCCAACGCGCACGACAATGACACGTGGATATGCAACCTCTTGAGTCTCGTCAAGAGGTTGGACTCCATGAAGAAGAAAGTTCTTGGCCTCTGCTTCGGCCACCAGGTAGCTAAGCTAGCTTTTTTTAAGTAATCGATTAAATTGGAAGTCAACTATAATTTTACTTTTTTGCAAACGGAGGGAGTAGTTAATTTCCAATTTTGCCCTTGATGTGATAGGTAAAAGTAAGATATGATAGGTAGATTATTAGAGATAAAGTATGATGTGATAGGTAGGGCATTAAAAAGTAAGGGTAAAAGTGGTTTTTTAATAGAAAGTGGAAGTGTTTTGTTGGAAGTGAAAAAAATGAAAGAGGAAGTGTTTTTAAGAACGGAGGGAGTATTTAATTATAGGTCAAATGTTAAAAACAGTTGACCGGAAAAATTAAAACCGGACAAATACTCAGGGACGGAGATAGTATAACATTTTCTGTGCCTACAACTATAAACTTTACATTTTTGGTTAAGTCTTTATTATTAAATAAATGAATTTTTTCTACCTAGCTTTTTGAAATTATCATATTCAATCCAAAATGCCATTGGTTGTGTCCGAGTTTTATTTCATTATAAATTTGTTGTGTTGTAGATATTGGGTCGGGCCATAGGAGGAAAAACCGGGCGCAGTGCCACTGGTTGGGACATCGGAGTGACCACCGTCAACTTTTCTCAGTCGTCGGAGCTTTTGAACTCCCTCAAAATGCCGCCTTTCCTCAACGTTCTCGAGTTCCACCAAGACGAGGTTTGTGCATTATATTCTTCAATTCAAAACTCGCTCAAATTTAACACCATGGTTAGGTTTAATTCCTTCGGCATTGAGCGTCAAGATAATGGAACGACTTCGGCCACCTACGGTGCTCCCTTCCCCTCCGATCCCTTCATAGCCGATTCAATGTCAAAGGAACCCCGCCAAATTTGATTAGGGAGTACGTATTTGATTAAGCATTGTTGTTTTATTGAATTTAATTTGGTTAGATAAAAGAGCTTCCGGCGGAGGCGGAGATAATGGCATGGTCGGAGAAGACGGGAATAGAGATGTTTAAGTATGGTGATCATATGATGGGGATTCAGAGCCACCCGGAGTACACCAAGGATATAGTTCTCGGCCACATTCATCGCCTTGCCAAACGCAACCTTATTCAGGTACACATACATATTTATATATAGTGAAATTTGCACTGAATAAGACTAAAACATAAGTCATTGCTCAATGTAGGACTTGAACTTTTTTATGATCTAAATAGGACTTAATAATGACTAGTGAGAAAAATAATGTTCAAGTGATGCTGGACATTTAGTTGAATAATGACTAATAGATAATGATCAATGGTCCTACATTAGGAAATAAAAATATATAGTCCTATATTGAGAAAATCATTATGTTTTAGTCCTATTTAGTCATTATGTTTTAACTTTGATGACAACGATGATGATAGATTATACTTTTCAAAAACTCTTTTCCTTTTCTTTTTTTCTTGTCCCACGAAGTCCTATATATTATTCTCTTTTAAAAATTTACTTTGACACGTACTAATTCTTAACATACTTATGACATCTTACTTTTTTTACTAATAATCTATCTATCTACTTTTACCCATCAAATCAAAGGTATTTTTTTGAAAGTCAATACAAAAAAAGTTCTTTAAATTTCTTAAATTTCCTAAAAGTCAAAATGGCAATATCTTTAAGGAAGTATTAGTTAATTGTTTATGTTGATGATTAAAAAATAATTACTTAAATATGAAGGAAGAGACAGCGGTGGAGGCGAAGGGGAGGGTGGAGAGGGAAGATGAGCCGAGCAAGGAGTCTTGGAAGAAGCTCTGCATTTGTTTTCTCAAGGGCATGCATGCATGCATGCACGCACATACATCCATCAATCCATGCATGCATGATATGATGGATGATATATGATGATGATGATCGATCGATGAAATTATTTATATATGCATTATTAGTTTGACACTATATATATATATATATATATATATATATATATATATATATATATATATATATATATATATATATATATATATATATATATATATATATAGCTGGAATATAATATGCATCTTAAAATGCACACTTCAATTCAAACCCCGGCAATACGTACTATTCTCCTGTTAATTTGTAGTACCCCTCGACCATATTGTTATTATTACTGTATTATTATGCTCCGTATTACTATTATTATTGTTGTTGTTGTTCTTGTTGTTGTTGTTATGATTATTTTTACTGTTTATTACTATTACTATTACTACCTCGGCCCTGTAGTATTTGTCAAAATTTGAATTTTTTCAGTCAATAGTTTTAATTTTTGACCTATATATTAAAATAATTTATATATTGTATATTCCTTACATAAAATAATATTTTGAAAATATTTTATATAATAAGTCTAATAAAATTATTTTTGTATCAATATCTAATACTCCGTATTACTTTTGTTCAATTTGGAGTCAAAGTTTACCAATTTTAATTAAAAAAGTCAAACGTGAACAAATACTCCGAGACGAAAGGAGTATTATTATTACTATTATAATTATTATGTCATAGAAGAATTGGGTTGTTTACAAAAAAGAAAGATTTACTTGTTAATCCATAAAAAGTGTGAGAATTGAATATCCATATTTTACATGTAAGATCTTACGACCATGAAAGAACAACTAGTATATAAACAACATAAAAAAATTTGAGCTTTTAATTTTGCAAAACAAAAAAGATTCACTTGTAAAGCTATAAAAGGCGTTGTTGGGTCGGAAAGATGGACCGAATGGAAAGGAATGAACAAATATGTGTGTGTGTGTATAGAAAATATATTAAAATAGAAATTTTATATTTTATTCTAAAATAGAAGTTAAAATACATGTTGTGTGCAAACCATGACAATATATATACAACCAAAAAGTATTATGAGGTATCTATCTACATTTGCCACATTATCACATTAAAACTTTTATTTGAGTAATAAAATCATGGAGCTCTTATATATTTTGATATTTTCTTTATGTTTTACTTTAATTTAGGGCAAATTCTTAAGGAGTTTTGCAAATTTGTGTGTTGCTAATTAAATACTATTGCTCTGAGTATTTGTCTTTACTTTTTGTAGTAAAAAAGTTTCGATCTTTGACCTCGGATTAATTAGAAATTAGTCATATGATATTTTAATTAGATAAAATATAATACATCCGTCGTGTAAATTTTTTCTGTTTTGACTTTTGGAATGAGAAATTGTAGAAGTTTGATCACGGTAAAACGACGACAATTGAAAAGAGTATAACTCGAAAAATGTCATAATAGATAGAGCGTAGAAAATGGTTGATATATGTTCGGTTAGATATTGTATCCATCTAGCCCAAATTAAAATGTTTTATAGAACAAATAAGATACGAAAATTAAAAATTTTTACCAGATATTAAAAATATTGTATAAAAATTTAGACACCAAAATGAAAAACAATTTTAAAATTTACCCAACTCGTCGCCCACCCCCATGCGCCCGGTCCGGCTAGAACTGGTAGAGTATCTGCCATGGCCATGCGAGTTGTTTTTTATTTCTTGGGCGTCAAGAGAGAGAGAGAGAGATCCTTTTTAAGTCTCGTCTACAAGTTACAGTGCTTACAGCGTACACATTCCATTCTTCTGCATCCATGGTGCCGGAAAACGCCGCTTCTCCCGCTCCGTCGATGGGCAACTCGGTGATTCCCCTGATGAACAAGCTCCAGGACATCTTCGCCCGGCTCGACGGCCAGCCGCCGATTGAGCTGCCGCAGGTAGCCGTCGTTGGGAGTCAGAGCAGCGGCAAATCCAGCGTCCTTGAATCTCTCGTCGGCCGCGACTTCCTGCCTAAAGGTTCCGACATTTGCACTCGCCGCCCTATCGTGCTTCAGCTCATCCAGACCAAACGGAATCCTAACGGCGCCGATGAGGAGTGGGGACAGTTCCTCCATCTCCCTGGCTTTAGATTCTACGATTTCAGTGAAATTCGTAGAGAAATTCAGGTAACTTTTTTTTTCATTATACCAAATTCAGGCCATTTTTTTTACTCAGCAAGCCCCAAATTGAATCCCTTTCTGTTCTTAAGCATCAAATGGTGATGATGAATTTATGATATGCTTATCATTTCGATGTTATTGTAGAATTTTATGAAAACTGGCCGGAATTGAATGATTTCATTCCACATAAAAGCAATATTTGTAGATACATAGCTCTGACCTAATTGGCTTAACTAGAATAAGTTCATTAACACCAAAACATAATGCATTCACTAACAGTTATTTATTTCATCTTTGTTATTCATGTGCATTAATTATCAACTGGATTTAGGCTGAGACTGAGAGGGGAGCAGGAGCAAACAAAGGTGTTTCAGACAAAAAGATTACCTTAAAAATATTCTCCCCAAACGTTCTGGATATCACTCTGGTTGATTTGCCAGGCATAACAAAGGTCCCTGTCGGGGATCAGCCTTCTGACATTGAAGACCAGATCAGGAAAATGATACTGTCATATATTGACAATCCAAGCTGCTTGATACTGGCTGTTACACCGGCTAATTCTGACTTAGCTAATTCAGATGCCATTCAGATTGCTAGAAGTGCAGACCCTGATGGTACATGGTGCCTGCTTTACCTTTTATCTTGTAGTTAAATCAACTCAAACAAGATAAAACGAGAAGAATCGATTTTGTGCTGATATTTTATTGGTACTGATTTCTAATGTAGGGGATCGAACCATTGGTGAGATTACAAAGGTGAGCGCTGAAAATAGATTTTTTTGGGATGCGCATCATATAACATTTGAATGTCTCTTGTTTGTTTAATAACTGATTGTATGTCATTTTATGTTTCAGTTAGACATTATGGACAGAGGCACAAATGCTCGCAATTTTTTGCTCGGGAAAGTAATTCCACTTCGGCTCGGTTATGTTGGGGTTGTAAATCGTAGCCAAGAGGTGAATTTCAGCTTTCACCTATATGAAGATTTAGATTTGGTGTATGATGAAATTTTTTTTGGTGCATGTTCAATCTTCGCACATAGGATGGTGCTGTGTAGCTACAGATTGAAGAAACTAGAAATTGTTTTGCTTGTGTAGATACACTGTGCAACAATGTTAGTGATGTTTTGCATTTATATAAGCAGAAGATCATTTGCCTGATTATTTCAAACAGGATATACTGATGAATAGAAGTATAAAGGATGCACTTGCTGCTGAGGAAGAGTTCTTTCATAGACGTCCGGTATGACGTCAGTCTGTTGTATTTAAGTTATGTCCCGTATGGCATCCGTGTGTTATGTTTAAGTTATCGAAACACTTGAACCTTGCACATGTTTATAACTTTTTTGGATGAAGATTTATAGTGATCTTGCTGATTGCTGTGGGGCATCTCAGTTTGGAAAAAAGTTAAATAAGGTATAAACTCCAAGCTGAAGTGCAAAGAGTACATTTTTACAACACACTATCATTTCCCCATGTGATTAGCTTGCAACTGAATATAAAGGCCCAGGAGAAGCGTGTACCTTTTTTGTTATTTACTACTTAATTTTCTTTTACCCTTGGAGGCAATTAGGTGTTTGCATCTCATACTTTTTATTTTTTATATTTAAGGAAATAAATGAAATTGAATGTATGGTATCCTCCCACCATGTTTTTTCATTTAACAGATTCTTGCACAACACATCAAAACACGCCTTCCAGAGTTGAAGTCATGTATTAGTGCTGCACTTGCTTCTGTTGCTAAAGAACAAACTAGCTATGGATATATTGCTGAGGAAAAGGTACCGCATCTGCATTTTATCTAACCGATCTTTGAAATTCATTGTGGTTGAAGTGTTGTTGAAGGTGTTGGCATGTTGTTGCCAAAAAATTGGGGGTTGCTTAGTTTTTTTATGTAGCTTGATATATTGTGGTAGATACTAGAACGTTGAGTCCATTGCGAATGGAGCTAAAAGAGTCCATTTTAGAGACGTGTTAGCTTCGGGTAAATATTGGACTAAATCCAAATGACCTATCAAACTTCCCTTGCTTCTTATGGACTACTTGTGGTTTTTTGGGAAGTAAATGCATCAATGCCACAACAGTCTAACGGGAACAGCCTCTCTGTTTTTACATGTTCCATACTCAATTGGAGTTGGGTTTATATTGGGTTTGTTGTCATCGTCCTTGTTGTAGGTAGATTCTACAATTTGAGGATGACTTGTTAATACGACTCTAATGCAGGGTGATATGAAAAAACAACTCCTCAACATTCTTTCGAAGTATTCCAAAGGTAAATAGTGATTTTTCCTCATTTATCTACTGAAGATTAGTGAATCAAGTATTGCTTTTTTTGGAAGTCACCAAAGCCATGTTTAGTTTTATTTTAGCACTAACTTTAACGTAGTAAGCCATGCCATCTCACTATGTATACTCCTTTCGTCAGCTTTTTTGTCAATGATAGAAGGAAGAAATGACGATGTGTTGACATCAGAGATCTATGGTGGAGCAAGAATCCATTACATTTTCCAGAACATATTTGTGAAGAGTCTTGAGGTAATAAGACGCGGCCAATAGAAACTTTGTATTTCTTTGATTTTCAACACATGCAGCACTTAGTAATAAAAGTGTATGATAAATTCCATGGACATCACTGTTCCCTAACTAATTGCGGAAAAAGTTGGGGGTGTGTGCGCGCACACGCGTGTGGGGGGTGTTGATTTTTAAAATTTCTTCACTGGATTGCTTGGAAATTTGGCCCATTACCAATGGAGCTTAGGAGGCATAAATGTATCAAGGGTCTAATGAAAACAACCTCTAATTTTATAGGGGTAAGGTTGCTTACTTCTTGACCCCAAGATACCGACCGAGTGGGGGATCTTGCTGGGTGGTTGTCGTTGTTGCTGGTTTGCCTTTTGAGCTTAGTTGATTCCTCAGAACTTCACAACTCACATTACTATTCTTGGCATCTTTTGCAGGAGATTGATTCTTTTAAGGATTTAACAGATGAAAACATACATACTGCCATTCAAAATGCAGCAGGCCCTCAATCTTCATTGTATGTGCTCGAAGTATGTACTCGTAATAAATAATGAACTGGCTTGAACTGTCTTTTGCAATTATAATCTTAATTTTTTGTTACTTATCATGCTACATTTTTTTTCCATCATCTCCGATGGAGTCAAAATTTCACCATTTTTGGCTTTGGGGTGTGATGGAATAAATCAAAATGGATCTCTAAACTATCTGCGCTTCTTTAATTAATGAAGTAGCAGTTAGTCAAACACTGCAACTTTCGATGTTGAGCCGGGGGTCTCTTTGGAAACAGCCTCTCTACTTTCGAGTAGGGGCAAGGTCTTTGTACACACAC